GGATGTTAGCCCAGGGCCAATCTTCCTCAGCAAAAAGAGGAGGATTGGCATGGATGTTAGCTCAGGGCTGATCTTCCTCACAAAAAAAAGAAAAAAAAAAGTACTGATATATAGGCCTCACCAAAACCCAGGCTGACTAAATTGACTCTCAGTTGGTGGGGTCCAGGCACCAGAGTAAAATGGATTGAAAAGTCAAGATACAAAGCAGTCTACCCTCTACTTCCATGTGCAGAGTGTCAGGTGTCTGCTACCTTCTAAAATATTAGAAGGTTTCTCTGTAAGGAAATCAAATGGTTATCAAGCAGAGGCGTCTGCCTTCTGGCATTCAGGGATCCCCCAGCACAATAGCCTCCCCCACACCTAAGGAACCTGGTAGGTCAGATCCCACCAGGTAACAAGCATCCCACACACTCAAGCTCCTAATGAGGTTTTTGCTCTGAGTATGAATAGACGACCAGCAGTCAGTAGACGTTTGAGGAAAGCCTGCAGTCTGAGAGAGCTTAAGATAAAGAAAAAGAAAAAGATGACCCTAAAGGAAACATGATACAGAAAACAAACAAAAGCTTAAAAAAAAAAGCCTTACAGGGGCCGGCCCCGTGGCGTAGTGGTTAAGTGCACGTGCTCCGCTACTAGCGGCCCAGGGTTCAGATCCCGGGCATGCACCGGTGCACCGATGCACCGCTTGTCAGGCCATGCTGTGGCGGTGTCCCATATAAAGCAGAGGAAGATGGGCACGGATGTCAGCCCAGGGCCAGTCTTTCTCAGCAAAAAAAGAGGAAGATTGACGTGGATATTAGCTCAGGGCTGATCTTCCTCACAAAAAAAAGAAAAAAAAACGCCTTAAAATAACTTATTGATTTATCAGCTCTTAGAATCAAGCTACACAGACAAGGCACAGAAGATTTAATTAAGGTTATGTAACAGGCTATAAATGTTGTCAACTCTGATGCTTAGAGAGAATAGATGACAGAAGTTGAGACATAAAAGGGAGGACAAGAGGTGAAGGGAGGTATAAGGATGCTAATGTCTGCAGTTTACAGGCTACATGTCTGTGGTTGTGGAAGAAGATTTACTTTCTCTCTCTCTCTCTTTTTTTTTTTTTTTTTGAGGAAGATTGGCCCAGAGCTAACATCTGTTGTCAATCTTCCTCCTTTTGCTGAGGAAGATCAGCCCTGAGCTAACGTGTACCCATCTTCCTCTATTTTATATATGGGATGCCGCCACAGCATGGCTTGATGAGTGGTGTGTAGGTCCGCACCCAGGATCCAAACCCCAGGCCAATGAAGTGGAGCATGCGAACTTAAACACTACGCCACCGGGCCGGCCCTGCAATAATTTCTTTTTTTTTTAATTTATTTATTTATTATTATTTTTTTTTGTGAGGAAGATCAGCCCTGAGCTAACATCCATGCTAATCCTCCTCTTTTTGCTGAGGAAGACCAGCTCTGAGCTAACGTCTATTGCCAATCCTCCTCCTTTTTTTTTCTCCCCAAAGCCCCAGTAGATAGTTGTATGTCATAGTTGCACATCCTTCTAGTTGCTGTATGTGGGATGTGGCCTCAGCATAGCTGGAGAAGTGGTGCGTCTGTGCATGCCCGGGATCCGAACCAGGCCAGTAGCGCGCACTTAACCGCTAAGCCAGGGGGCCGGCCCCCGCAATGATTTCTTATATAAGCAGGACTATTTGGGATATTCTGGTACCTGTACCACACTGTTTGGATAACATAACTCTTTACTTTTACTTTATGATATTGCAAGTCCCATTCTTACTTTAATCCCTTATTTTGGCCTTTGACAAGTTACTTTGGACTCTCTAAGCCTCAGTTTCCCCATCTGTGAACTGGGGATAATATTAGTACCTGTCTCTTAGGCTTTGAGGAATAAAGGAGATAATATATGTAAATACTTAGCCCAGTGAAGTTGTGATATTAGCTACAATTATTGTTGGTTAGCATCTGCCTAACACATAATGTATATTCAATAAATTAATGCACTTTTAATAATTTGCTTATTTACTCACACTAAGATAACTTTGAATGCTTTCCTAGCTTCGTTTTTTAGCTTGGGTTGTTCAATGTGATTGTTTCTTTTTGAAACTCTGTAATTTTTGTCCTTGCTTGTAATTTAGTGCTAGAGTTTTAAAATTATCTTTTGCATATGTAATATATGTTTTTTGTTCAGTTTAAAATCTGATTCTTCCTAAGCATTAAAACTGTATTCCTAGGACATGGCAGATTAATGTCTTCTTTTTCAGGTTAAAAGTCAAACTTCTGCATCCTCTTGTGATGACCCCAAGGTACAGATTAGCTGCCAGGAACAAGCTCAGAGGGAGCCAGTTGACCATGTCACCAAAACAAGGAGAAGGCGTGGGATAGTCCATAGGAAGCCTGACTCCCAGGTGAATGGAAGTGTGCAAACCGAAAAGAAGCCACCAGCTGTGCTGGAACTGGTATGTCCTTAAGGAGCCTTCTCTTTGAATTCCCGTGTGCTATCAGGTGGTTGTCAACACTGTGCCGTAAGCTCCACGGAAGCACAGACCCGAGTCCAGGCTGCTCATCATCACCCCCAGGCGCTGGCACTCGGGAAGCACTTATTAAGTATTAAGCACAAATTAAATATTTGTTGAATAATTATGAATGTTCATTAAAAAGAAAATAGAAACCAGCATCACATATGATTTTCTCTCTCTCTCTTTCCAGTCTTGTCCCAGGCCTGGTAATCATACTGTACTTGGTCTTTCAGCAGTGTGGTCATGTGATTTCAGGGGCTTCCCTCACTTGCTTTGAGAGGATTTTATTATCCTTTCATTCAAATGTAACTTTACAAGACACAGTCCTGATTTTTATTTTCGAGCTTTGCATAGTCCCGTAGTCATTAGCCTATTTAGGTCTCATCCCTAAGTGAGCTGATCTTGCCATTTCTGCCTTCCAGTGGTTCCTGGGGTCTCCTGTTCCCAAATTCACATTCTCATGACACTTAGTGAGCCAGAGAACCCAAACTGCCACTCAAAAAGTTTATCCTCCTACTTTTCTTCCTTTAACTCCTTTCCCCCCTCAGTTTGGTACCTATCTTTGGAAGGCAGTGATTATTTCTTTTTTTTTTTTTGTCTGACTATAAGCAATTAAAAACATTTTTTTAATGATATATTTTTTAATTGAGGTATAATTGACATTACAACATTGTATTAGTTTCGGGTGTACAACCTAATGGTTCAATATTTGTATCTATTGTGAAATGGTAACCACAGTAATTCTAGTTCACATCCAATACCACATATAGTTACAAAATTTTTTTTTCTTGTGATGAGAACTTTTAAGATCTACTCTCAGCAAATTTCAAATGTGATTACTTCTTATTTGTCATCTAAATATTTTATTTCCTTTTAAAATTTGTAGCAGGATCATTCAGAGATAAAAGTAAGTGATCCCACTGAATTCCGGAATCAAGAAAAGCAGGAAAACCAGGCTCCTAGAACTGCTGCAGAAGTTCTTTGTCCACCAGACAAGAGCCAAGGAGATAAGAATGCAGTGTCCTCAGGAAAAAGTGGAATAAATGGTATGCCAAGTAACTAAAAAAAATCCAAAATTGCTAGGCTAGCCATGTGCATTCATTTCCTAGGACTGCCATAACAATTTTTGAGGGTATAAAGGGATGCTGAGACCAGAAAATGTGCGAACTGCTAATCTAATCTGTAGACAGATCTTACGTAGATTTCATCAATTATTCCAGCAACGTCCCTTAAAGCAAAGGAAAATCTCAGTTTATCTCTTGCATTTCATTGTCGCGTCTCTTTAGTCTACTTTAATCTGGAACAGTTCCTCACTTTTCCTTTGTCTTTCAGACATTGACATTTTTTAATACAGGCCAGTGTTTTTTGGTCCTCTGACTTGGTTTGTCTGATGTGTGCTGATGGTTAGTTCAGATCATGCACTGTTGTCAGGAATCCCACAGAGGGGTGCTGTGTCCTCCTCAGGCAGCACACCAGAGGCACAGGTGCTGGTTTGTCCTATGACTAGTCATTTTAACTTCCATCACCTGGTTATGGTGGTGTCTGCTAAGTTGCTCCTTTGTAAAGTTACTATTTTTCCATTTGTAATAAAGTATCTTGTGAGGAGAGACTCTGACTCTGTAAATATCCTATTTTTCATGGAACTTTTCCTCTCTGGTTTTAGAGCCAATGTCCAAGAAGAAGCCCCTGCAGCCCCTCCTGCTCCATCGAATCAGTCTTTTGCCTTATTTTATGGATGCATTGGGGAACCTTAAGGAAGAGTGGTTTTATAAGTCGTATTTCTTGAAAACCCACTTGCATATTTTTTAGTAGACTGCCTCAAGTTGAAAAAGATATCAGAATGTGGAAAATGATTATAAGTGGGAGGAAATAGCAAACCTTATATACCATGATTTCAACCAGATTTACAGAATAAAAACAAAAGTATAGCTCAGAGGACCTGAGGAAATAGGCCAAAATGCTAATGGTGTTTCTTAGGCTGGTGAGATTGTGTGATTTTTATCATTCTAGTTATAACAATAACATGTTCATAGCAAAAGTTCTGAAAAAGTGTTATTAAATTTCTGGTATATTTATTTAACTCCTATACAAGAAGCATAAAATTTCTGCATACTTGAAGCATATGAGCTAAAATTGTAGTGATGCTATAAGTAATTCTTTGTGCTCCGTACGTGCCATTTCTCCCACCACCCTGGCAGAGCCTATTACAGGAAAATGCTCCATGTTAACTTACAGACACTTCTGAATGGGAAGAGTTTTTTTGAAATCTTTCATTATTTCTGTATCTTTGGATTCAGGTAATGAAGATTCAAAGGTACCTCCAGAAAGACAGAAGTCTCTTTACAAAGATGGATTTTCCAAACCTGGAAAAAATAAAAGAATTGCAAGCACTACTCCAAGTAAGTTTTGCACACAAAGAAGCATAAAGTAATGGTGGGCCTCCTTCGGGCTGACGTTGGTGACGCAGCGTGCTATAATGGCTACATGCTCGGACGCTGGACCTGGGGCTTACAACCTCCTCTCATTCTCTAGCTGTGAGAACTTGGGCAACTAACTTATCCTCAGTAGACCCACTTCCTCAGTTTAAAGTGAGAAGGATTATACTACCTATTTTATTAGGTTGATATATATAGATTGAGACTATTTTTCCACTTCTGATTACCTAGCACAGCAACTAGCATGTAGCAGGTATTCAAGAAATATCTGAGAATGAATGTCTATAAAATACTTGGCACAATGTCCACCTTGTAATAAATTTCTTTCTTTTTTTTTTTTTTAGTAATCAGTCTAAGGGACTCCATTTCTGGACATGTAATTCTTCCTCTCTGTTGCTTGGCACATAGAATGTTAATTGAATATTGTATATTTATAGCACCTAAAATGCTGCTCAGTATATATTAGAAATTCATATACTTAATTATACTTAATTAGAATATACTTATATACATAATTAGAATAGCACAGAGCAGGGGTCAGCAAATTACTGCTCTCCTTGGCCTGTCTTATAGCCCTTGAGCTAAGAATGGCTTTTACAGTTTTAAAGGGTTGTATAAAAAAAGAGAAATATGAGACAGAGACCATACCATACGTGGCCACAAAGCCTAAAATATTTACTCTGTGCCCCTTTACAGAAAAAGTTTGCCAATCTTTGGCATAGAGCTTTCTAAACATTATAAAGTGTTAAATTTGTGATTACGTAAAGGCCATTTGATTAATTGGTGAGGGGAGAGGGGAAATTTGTTGTTCTTTTCTTGCCCTCAGGACTAAACCAAGATGTCAGTTAGTGGTGAAATGGACAGTGGAGAGATGGTGAATGTTTGATGGTTTATAAGATAACTATGCTTTGGCCCTGGGTTTCCAAAAACTAAATGTTTTGAAATTAACGTTTTAGTAAAGATGATGTTTAAGTTGAATGTCAGGGATGCAGAGAAGAGATTGTTAACAGAAAAACATAGGCAAGGTGAATAAATGGATTTTGTCTTGTTATTAATTTTCATATTTTGGGGAACATTCTAGACTTTAAGAAGCTTCATGAGGCTCGTTTTAAGGAAATGGAGTCCATTGATCAATATATTGAGAGAAAAAAGAAACATTTTGAAGAACACAATTCATTTAATGAACTGAAGGTATGCTGGTAAAATTATGTTCTTAATGGGACTAAACTATTTGATTTTAATGTTGATACCATGTATACACCATGGTTAATACAGCCAGCTTTCTCTTACCCTATAGTAGAATGGATTTATTCAAGTTTAATATATCTTTATTTTCTTAAATTGCCTTCCCCCACCATGAAAATTTTCAAAACTCTCCAGGTAAAACAGTGAGCCCTCACCAGAAAGAACAAAATCAAAGTGGCAATAAGTTGTTCTGTCTTCCACGTTCAGATGTTGTGCCTGTCACTTTTGTTGAGGATGGACTGATTTATGGCTGGAGCCGTCTTCTTTCCCTGTCTCTCACCTAAAGGAAACAGGGCATGAGCTAGCTGCCAATGTGTCTGGAAGCAGGGTCACTTGTTTTCCTTTCCATGAAGCTGGGTCTATTTAAGTACTTGATTGAAAGTCAAGCTTTCTATACTACATAATATGGATGAGTTAATTTTCCAAGTAAAAGGGAAGGGCAGAACAACTGCTTCAACCGTAAACTTGAGTGTAGCCTTGAAGATGTGTTGAATAAATGAGTAGCTTATCTTATTTTTTAGTGATAGCCCCGTCCGAATGAGTTTAGTTCACAATTCCCCTCCCCCCATCATTTAAGGAATTGGCTTCTCAGATGGGTTATTTGGTATGATCTATTTGGAGACTGGAGAATAAAAAACAATTATAGTAATTTCACCGTAGCTGATATGAAGCTTTTCTTGACAGTTGACATGTTTTGGGATTGGTCGCTTGGATAGTGATGGAAAGTAATAAATGAGCAGAGATCCCAGAGAGAATCATCCTGGCCTTGAACAATCTCTCCTTGACTTTCATGATTAGAAGAGGGAGACCTATTTGATTAGTTACCAAATGGTTCTCTACAAAGATCAGAAACCTTGTGCCCAGAGATGCCTGTTTACTTTGCCAACAGTGGCAATGATCAAACTTTTAAATCTTTGATAATATAATATGAAAAAATCCCAATTGAATTGGCATTTCTTTGATCATTTTATGTTACATGTTGTTTTTATGTTATAAATCTGTATATGTTACAGTTGGCTCTTTTTCTGTGAATTTGCTTTTTCTTAATTTTTGCCCATTTATTTATGAGCCATTTATCTGTATTAATCATATATAATATGTTATAAATACATTCCTACAGTTTATCTTTTAACTATATTAATGGTTGTCTTTTACCTTGTGGAAGGTTTTTTTGTTTTATTTTTAGTTGAATCTATCCAACTTTTCCTTTTAAAGTTCTGAGATTTTTGTCATGCCCTGCCTATCCCAAGATCATAAAAATATGCTCTTATACTTATTTTTATTGCTTTTATTATTTTTCCCTATGTTTAATTTTTAACCCACATTTTTATTTTTTTCAATGTATGGTATGATTGAGCTCTTTGCTTTGTTAGAACAGGATTTTTATTGCTAAAAGAAAGGAAGGAATTGATTACATACATTATTAACAAAATGAATTAGTACTACTAGAGTTAGTGGCCTAATATTCTACCTGAAAAAAAGTCAGAGTGATTGGTACTCAGTGCAAGTAGAATCATGAATACATTACAAAATCGCTCAAAGATGTAGACTTGGTGGTCCCGGCACCAAGTGAACTGTGAGGAGACACCAAGTGTGGAAAGTGGGAATTTTAAAGGAAAGATAGAAAAAGGCATAAAACATGTGATTAAATATAACAGTATGCTTCATACATCAAACCTGGGTTCTTGGCTTGTGGTAAAGATGTGTATTTACTAAATATTTTGGTTTTAAATTTGTCTCACAACATTAGAATCTCTTCTGCTTGTATGTTGAAATGAGAAGTTAGTTGACATAGTTCTCTAGTTGCTTGTGTTTCATAGGATATAATCACGATTTTTATGTCTTTTGGCTTTACGTTGTCAATTTCAACAGTCCTACCTCTGTTGTCACTTAATGAAGTTATATTTCTTCTGCTTGCAACAGAGCTTAGACTAATGATAGTAAAACATTCAATTACTCTTGACAGTATCTAAAAAAAGATAACCTGAGTGGAACCCTTCCCAGCCATTTCAAAAAGAGCCTTTCCCTCCTTCTCTTCTTTCTTTTTTTTTTTTTTTTTAAAGATTTTATTTATTTATTCTTTTTCCCTCCAAAGCCCCAGTAGATAGTTGTATGTCATAGCTGCACATCCTTCTAGTTGCTGCATGTGGGACGCGGCCCCAGCATGGCCAGACAAGCGGTAGTGGAAGTGGTGCGTCGGTGCGCGCCCGGGATCCGAACCCAGGCTGCCAGCAGCAGAGCGCGAGCACTTAACTGCTAAGCCATGGGGCCGGCCCTCTTCTTTCTTTTATTTAGGGTTTTTTTTTAAGGAACTGTAAAAGCTTTTTGGGGGCGGGGGGATAGAGATAGAATTATTTGTAGATTCCACATGCCAGTTATGTAATAGTTTCTTCTTTGAGTTTGTATTTAATAAACTGCATATCATGCTCTCAAGGTACCGTATTTCCAAGAGAACCTATTCATCTTCCCTTTCTGGCCAGAGGGGACTGTTTAGCCACATTCTTTCTCTAGTTAGAAAATACCTGGTACACGGCAGCAGGGAAGAGCTTTCTGTTAACACATTACTTAGCACAAGCAGAAGTCACTTTTAAAACAGAGGCACCATAGCAACACAGGTGCCAGGGACTGCCTAGCCTGCCAGGCAGGTAGGATAGGATGAGGTAGTAGGGAAGGAAAGGTGGGGTTAAAAGTGGGGATGGAATAAGGAGATAAATGGGGGTGCTCTTCTGCATTTTGCCAAGGAGACAATACTGTCTATGAGGCAAGGCTTTAACATGGTGCGTTTCTCTTTCTTCAGAAGCAGCTCGTCAGTAAGGGAGTGGTGGCAACTCCAGTTCCTGTCCAAGGAAGACTCTCTGTGGCTTGTACTCCCGCCAGCCAGCGGCGCTCACAAGGCCGGCCCCACGGTGCTGCAGGCCGGAGCACTCTGTGTGTGAAGGGGTCGGTCAAGCGCACTGCTCTCTCAGCAACTAAAATGAATGTCAGGTAAAGAACTCCAAAATATAATCAAGCACAAGGTCTCCAAGCTTTACTGCTTCTAATACATTTCAGGTGGACGATACCAGATATGTTTTAATGTTGATGGAAAAGGAGGAGAAAGATCGGCAAACAGTTTTTATAAATTCTAATCTTTTTTCTTTAAATTTATGTTCGGGATAGCCCAGTGGTGTAGTGGTTAAGTGTGCGCACTCCGCTTCAGTGGCCCGGGGTTCACAGGTTCGGATCCTGGGTGCGCACCGACACCTCGCTTGTCAAGCCATGCTGTGGCAGAGTCCCATATAAAGTAGAGGAAGATGGGCACAGATGTTAGCCCAGGGCCAATCTTCCTCAGCAAAAAGAGGAGGACTGGCATCGGATGTTAGCTCAGGGCTAATCTTCCTTACAAAAAATAAATAAATAAATTTATGTTCAGTTTTCTTGTTTTATCCAACTTCCCTAAGCTCACATTTGATTCATAAGTAAAGATAGAAAATTATATATAAATTTTCATTTTATTAAATATATGCCTGCAAAGATGTGTAAAGAGAAATTTTTCCATTGACTTTATTTTTTTTTATTTTTATTTCTTTTGTGAGGAAGATCGGTCCTGAGCTAACATCTGCCAGTCCTCCTCTTTTTGCTGAGGAAGACTGGCCCTGGACTAACATCCGTGCCCATCTTCCTCCACTTTATATGGGACGCTGCCACAGCATGGCTTGACAAGCGGTGCATCGGTGCGTGCCCGGGATCCAAACTGGCGAACCCAGGCCGCCACAGTGGAGCACGTGCACTTAACCACTTGCACCACCAGGCCAGCCCCTTCCATTGACGTTAAGTTGAAGCTAAATGCCTACAGAAAATCTCTCAATGCAGTGAACTAAAAAATTGACTCGTCCTAAAGTGTAAATATTATAACCCTTTGTGTGCTGCAATATCATAGCTATCTCATGCCCCATTGATCCTCTGTTTTCTTTGTGCTTTTCCTGACATCAGGGTAGCCCTCAACTGTGACTGTCCCCACAGATAGAGATCTTCAGGCTCCTTTCTTTAATACCAAAATTTTATTCTGTGCTTTTTTAAGGGTATTTGCAACATCTAATAGAGCTGGTGCATGGTAACACTTCCCCAACACGTGTAATTATCTGACATAGTTTTTAAAGCTTATGAATGCCCTTACGTTTGGAATTCTATTTATTGAGTTAGCTTGGAATATGAGGTACCTATACTTGACAGTTCTGATTGTATTTAATACTATTTAAGAACACCATGGTCAAGGGCTAGTCCTTGCTCCACTGCAGTGTACAGAGCAGCCTGCACTTCACAGCCCCTCTTCTAACACATCCAATTTTCTTAACTCTGTTGTAGAGTCTTTTGTAATAATTTTGGGTGTTGATTCAGGATCACTATCAAATCTTTAGTTATAAGTCCAAAAGTTCCCTTATGTTAATCACCCCCCCAACCCCAGTATATATATAAATTTTTTTCCTTTTTTTGCTGAGGAAAATTCATCCTGAGCTAACATCTGTTGCCAATCTTCCTCTTTTTGCTTGAGGAAGATTCACCCTGAGCTAACATCTGTGCCATTCTTCCTCTATTTTGTATGTGGGTCGCCGCCACAGCATGGCTGCCAACGAGTGGTGTAGGTGCACGTCAGGGAACCGAACCCAGGCCACCGACACAGAGCACGCCAAACCTAACCACTAGGCCACAGGGCGGGCCCCAACCGTAGTATATTTATATCTGTCATTACTGGATTTTCACTGAATCTAAGACACCATGAATTGAAGATTCACCGTTATTTTATGAACCACTAAGAAAAATCACTGCCAACCAACTATGACATGTTACCAATTGTAAAACACATTCCAATTTCAGAGATGTTAAAATGCAGAAAAACTGTCATTAGAGAATCAATGAAATACATTTATGGCAATTTGCTGAGTAGAGAATGGCCCTATGTACCACTCAAATGAATGACCTTCTTCTAGGAAGATGTAAGATCTGTTCCCATCACTCATTTAGCATAGCAGTCTCCCGTTCTCTCTGACTTGCCGTCACCAGGAGGAGAAAGAAGGGGAGCTTCTTCGAGTATCTCGTAAGCTGTAACTTGAGGCTTACAGGCATCTCCTTCAAGCTCTGCCTTGTACTGTCATTGGCCAAGGCAGGGAAAGCAGAGATTACAAAAGCATATTTTACAAATAACAAAAGTTGATAAATGATTTGCTTTAGCATCCGTGTTTTAAGAACAGGTCTATTCTGCAAAAGAGGTTCATTCATGTGACAAGTATTTATTGAGGCCCTTTGACTGCTTGGTGATGGGCAAGTGGTTTTATTTATAAGCTTGACAAGCTTGACAGAAGTTACTCTTGACCCAGTTACTCATGTCTTGTACTCCACTGTCCTATTTAGGTTTTCAGCCACTACTAAAGATAATGAGCATAAACGTTCACTGACCAAGACTCCAGCCAGAAAGTCTCCACTTGTGACCATACCTGGGAGTACCCCGAAAGGCCAGGCTGTGCTCAGGATGCACCAGTTAAAGACCACAAGGGGGGATTCTGCTGCTGGTAAAAAAATTTCTGGTTCATCCTTAAGCCATGTAACTTCCTGAAATTATTAAGTATATTTGTTTCCTTAAAGCCTCACCTTATCTATAAAATCAAAAGCAAAAATTTCACTATAGCATATTTTTCATTTTATACTGACGAGGGAAATGCCAGAGACACAAATAAAAAGCTGATAGCTGCCTGAGGACTCCATCCTGTCCAGGAGGAGTCCTAAGATGGTAACCCTCCCTGAAGAGCATTCAGCCCCGTCTCGGACTCAGGGATTAGAAGGAGGATCACAGTATTCATTACAGCCTCTGAATGGTCCTGCAGGACTCTGAAACCAACAGGATCTCAGAGTTCATGGAATAAATGCCCCACTATTGACTAGTAGACTGTATAACCCAGAATAAGCCATATAGTCACTCTTCTACACAGTGTCTACTTAATCATCACCAACAATGACCAGGTGGTTTTCAAAAGAATACTGCAATAGCAGTGCAAAGGTTTAAAACAATATCACCAACAGGTTGCGGCCTGTATTAGAATTGAGTATGTCAGGGTTCTCCTGAGAGTCCTATGAATATGTCAGTCAAGAGCCATGATTACAGAGAGGATTGCCCAATTCCCTGAGACTAGAGGACTCCAGCAGGAGTTTCAGACTAGAGGAGAGTATTGTTGTTGGTAATCATCAGTGTGGAGACTCTGTTTGAGGATTTCTTAAAGACTGAATAGTGAGACTGACAACTAAATTTCGAGAGCGAGTCCAGAGGTGGGAATAGTAAGTTTATAAGATTCCTCCTCTAAATGACCTCTCTCATTCCCACCCTAAACTTAATCTTATCTATACCAGCAAGCAGACATTCCATGTAACACTCTGACTCTGTAGTATGGAAAGAAAGGAGCTAAAAGGTGGAGAGTGGCCTTGCCTAAGATATGACTGTGTCATTTTACAGAGAGCTGGGGTTACTGAGCAGCAGCCACCTACCTTTTAATGAGAAATGACTCACAAATGCTCACAGATAAGGACTTAAGGCAGAAACTAAATGTTCTGAGCTTTCTCCTCTAAGTAATTTAAGGGTGTGTCCAGTTGAGATGGGATAGGTTTTTTTTTCCCAGTTATCAAATATGAATTTTATATAAACAAAATCAAATTGTATTTTTTCCTGTGATTTACTTCATTCACACAACACAATGTTTCAAGATTCATCCATATTGATAAATGAGCTAAAATTCATTCATTTTCACTGTTTTTCAGTGTTATGGATATATTTCACTTTATCCATTTTACTGCTCATGGACATGTGGGTATTTCCAACCTTTGTTATTATACATAGTGTAGCTATGACCATTCTTGAACACATCTCCTGTACATGTGCAAGTTTCTCTAGACCCGGAATGGGATAGTTGGATAGTAGGTGTGTAGACACTGTCTTGGTTGTACCACTTTATACTCCCATCAGCAGTATGGGACAGTGTTCCCCTCCCTCTAGCACTTGAGATCAACACAATGGGACAGCTTTAGCACAAGGGTTTTGTGCTTTTCTGTTTTGTTTAACTAGGTGGTCCTAGGTCCTAGTTGCCCGTTCACGTATACATGCAAGTGTTAACACTTGACAGTGGCCTGAATGCAGCCTGTGAGGGGAAAGGATTATAAAATGTGCCAGATACATGGTGCCCAACTGTAGCAAAAATTTGACTGATTTAATTATACCATCTGGTATATTTTTAACTTTATGGTACAAAAATTCACATTCTTAAATAATAGCCTTTATTAATAACAACCAGAGCCATGAATCTTTTCATCTATATGTGATCAGGTTCCTTGTAGCTTTGTATCTGTGTTAATGAAAATATTATTAGTAATATATAATTTTAAAAAGGGTAAATAATATCAGGGAAACAGCCTGAAAAATTACCCAGTTATTTCTCTAAATAGGATTCTAACCTCCTGGCGGATCTTAGGAAGTGTCATAATATGTCCACTCTTTGGGGAGCTGCTCACAGGGGAAACATATCTCGGTGGTTAGCTCTCCTCAGTTATTCTTTTCTCCTCCTTTTTAACCCTGTATCTGTTTCAGACTGTTCATATAGATTATATTTTTAAGATTGAGAAGTGATACTTTACCAAAAAACTATAACAAGTCTTTTAATTAAGCCTTTGGGTTTGGATTTTTGTTTTCCTATTTCTTTTCAGTTATTACCCCATTCAAGTTGATAGCTGAGGCAGTGCAGACTCCCGTCTCCCAGAAGAAACCAGTGTTTGATCTCAAAGCAAGTTTGTCTCGTCCCCTCAACTATGAGCCACACAAAGGTACATGGGGATGTTTTGAGGTAGAAGACATGCAAAAGACTTAAGATTAAACTACTCTGCATCTGAGGAGGTGAAAAATTCTAGTGAAATTCAGTGGAAGCCGTACTTGACCACCTAGAATTCCTGCCCCAGCCCTTGCACCCACATGACCCATGCTTTAAAAGACTGTCCATTAAACAAATGCTAAATAATTGATTCACTTAAATTTTTGTTAGACATAACTTCTAATCAGTGTTACTACAAAGAATTAATAAAATTTCAGACAAAATCAAGAAACTTGGAAGTTAACCTGTGGATAAATGAATGTTTTCTTTACAGTTTTCAAAGAATTCCAGGCTAGAAACCACCAGTCCAACAACCTGGGACATGTGATGGCCAGATGTCACTCTTGGGCATATATTAAAGTATCCTTACATCCACTTAAAATATCAATACTTAATGTAATCTAACTTTCAGTGCTTCTGGAATTACTTTAAAACAAAAAAAACTCCCTACAAGAATCATGTTTATGTAACAGTATTTATCTTTAAATTACTAATGTTAATGAGACATAAATAAAATGAAAACATAAATCGTATTTAGAGGTTAAGAGTCAACTAAACTGTGGTACAAAAACTTCTCGTCTAGTTCTCTCACATACCCCATTTTCCCCCCCAAGTTTTCCCATCTGTGGCAATGGCACTTCTATCTAGCGTGTTCTCAGAGCAGAAACCTAGGAGTCATCTTTGGCTCCTCACTCTCTCAGACCCCATATCCAGTGCATCAGCTAGTCCTTTCAACTCTACCTTTGAAATACATCTTTAATCTGACTACTTTTCACCCCCACTGTGATTCCGCTTGGTCCAGGTCATCATCGTCTCTTATCTGGGCTTTTAGAATAGCCTCTGCCCCACTAAAACCTTAAAAACAAATCAGCACATCACTGCCTTGCTCAGAACCTCCTAAAGTTTCTCATCTTTTTCCCAACCTCATTTCATCACCTCCTCCCTTCCCTGACTTTGTGTCAACAACACTTGTGTTCCAGCTCCTCAAACACACGGAGCTCATTCCCACCTCCAGGTCTTTGAACTTGTTATCCTTCTGCTCCACCTGGAATATTCTTCCCACAGACCTTTGCGCAGCTTGCTCCCTTGTTTTAATGGGGCATCCACTCAACTATCACCAACTCAGGCCTTTCCTCTCCTCCCTGCCTCCCACACTCTTCACTCCTTACCCTGTTCTACATGTCTTCATAGCACATAGCACCCATGTTAAGTTACTTGACAATTATCTACCTCTGCGACTGGGATGTAAGCCCAAGAAAGGAAGGATTTTTGACTGCTTGGTTCACTGCTATGTCCCCAGCACCTAGAACAGTCTCTGGCACATACCAGGTTTTCCAGAAGTATTTGTTATGGGAATGACTGACCACCACTAACTTCTACTAATGGTAGAAAACCTGGATTAGAGCTTTATCTGTGCTTCTTATTATTTTTATATTCTAGACAAGTCATTTAGTTCCTTTATGGAAGGGAAAATAAGTAATACTTCATTGGTTATTGAAAGGATCAAATGACATAATGGGTGTGAAAGTCCCTTTTATAAAATAAGAAACACTACAAATGATAACGATTAGTACTCAGAAATAGGTCATAAATTATGCAAATGAAACAATACATAAACATCTAGAAATTTGATTCCAGTTCTAAAGCCAACAAAATAGTCCCACTCGTTCCATTCCAAATACATTTTAATAGGTAACAGTAATAATAAACTGCGCAGATGAAATAACACTTTAATATTAAACAAAATACCTATGCAACCTTAGAATAAATTACTTGGTTGTGATGGCTTCTTTTAATGTGCTGTGTAATTGGATTTAGTATTTAGATTTTTATTTTTAGTATTCAAGTATTTAGTATTAAGATTTTTTTCTGTGACTTTCCAAGGATTAAAAAATAGAACACACTTTAATTTTTAGAGAAAAAATACAATTTATATCTGTGGAATGTGAAATTGAAATTAATAGAGGAATTATACTGGCAAATGTCTATAAAAACAAAGTATAAATGTTGATAGCAAGAAAGTAGCCACAGATGAAGAGAATTAAATTGGGAATATAAATACAAGCATCTTTTTAAATCTGTTGTTTTCTCTGTCCTAAACTAGGAAAACTGAAACCATGGGGACAATCGAAAGAAAATAATTCTCTGAATGAGCATGTAAACAGAGTTAGCTTCCACAAGAAAACCTACAAACAACCTCGTCTCCAGACCAGGTGAGTACAAAATTATCCAGTTCTCTAATTCTTTTCATTTTCAAAGACTATATATAAAAGCAGAGCCTCTGAGGGACAGAAAGTCTCAGTAATAGTGGTGTTTAAGAAGAAGGTAGAAGTGAAATCACATACAGAACTTTCTAAAAGCACATGTGCCTAGGCCTCACCACAGTGGGTTCTAATTCAGTAGGTTTGTGGTGAGGCCCAAGCATGTGCAGTTTCCAAAGCTCTACAGGTGATTCAGAAGAGGACCCATATTCAGAGTACTGCTCTTAAATGGTCAAATAATGCACCTGGATATCCCTCCAGACACCAATCCAAGTGCCCAGCATACCTCGGTAGGCAGATAGATGTAACTTCCTCACTCCCAGGGAAACCAGGCTACTAGGCTTTAAGGCCCTACACAGGGGGAATCCCAGGACGATCCTTAGGGGATTCCTTCTACATGAAAACCAAGTTAAAGCTCAAGTTTCCCCTGGGCTACAGCTGGTCCTCATTGAGTGGATTCCCTGTAAAACTCTCCTGATGTGGGGTTACCTATATTTGACCTGCCTATATCCAGCTGCCACCAAGGCCTTTACTAACTGTATTTGCTATTAAGATTGTTAACATGATCCCGGGCTTCCCCCCCCCCCCATCTCATCTAGGAAAACTTAGTGGCTTAAGTCAGTAGACCTGGGTTCTAGTTCCAGCACTTTCACTAGACTGTGATTTTGAGCTCGACCTTTGACTTGGACTTCCAGATGTAGAGATTTCTCATTTAAAACAAGAACTACAGGGGCTGGATTCAATCACCAAGGTGCCTTCTGGTTCCAGTTCCATGCTTGATTTTAGAATGCTGTATTAACATAAAAAGGAAAATACCAAGTTCTAGCCCTTTAATACAACAGTGACTTACAGGTGTGACTTCCATGGCATAGACCACTAGAGAGAGTGCAGTGTCCTGTAAGAGTGTGCTTTACAGCAGTGTGCTGGGTGTCATTTTTAAGTTTGGGTGTTAGTCTAACAACAGGTGCTTTCAAGTGGTCTGTTGTGGAGTGTCACTAGAGCCTAATGTGTACCTGTCCCTCTTAGGGAGGAGCAACGGAAGAAACATGAGCAAGAACGAAAGGAGAAGAAAGCAAAGGTTTTGAGAGCTCGAAGGGGCCTCGTGGCTGAAAATTAATAATTTTTTAACATTCTGTAAATATTCCTTTATTCTGAATCTTTTTCTTGTAAATTTTTTCTACTGTCCTCCCCACTTTAGTCAAAAAACTTTCTGTTAACTTCGTTCATTGTATATGTAGTGTCAGTGGGTTCTTCATGTGCTACATCTCTGAGAAGACACTATTACCTTAAAGCTCACAAATTCTTTGAACTGGTTTTTATCTAAGTCCCTGTACAACTCAGTTTTCTAATGAAACCCAGCCTATAGATTCTTGATGTAGATTTTTAATGTTAAGTTCTCTCTGCTGGCTTTAATATTAACAGAACTGTAATCCTCTTCTAGGCAAAAGCATTTACCTGATGATAGCTAGTTATACCACAAGCTTTAGTAGAAATTTAACAATAACAAATTATAGATAGGGTAAGCTGGGAAAGGCCAACTCTTCATCCTCTAGAGAATCTAGTAGTCTTAATGAAACTGTGGGCCATATGGGTTGGTTATGGCATCAATATTTTACCTATGTGAAGCGTTTTGTATAAGCTTATTTGTACCTTTGTTCAGATCACTTCATGTAATTGCCATCTGTCACTCAATATATTCTTAAAAACAAAAACTATAAAAAAAAACCAAAAACCAAAAACTATAGCCCATTCTAGCCTTGCTTATTTAAAAATATACAGGGCCATAATGAAATCTGAGGATTGCTGCTTTAAGGATTACTGTGCCCTGTCAAACTTACATCTTATTCAATTTATGGAAAAGACTAGAGTTGCTTAGCATCAAATCCATGTTGGTTGCACCTAAGTGAAGCTTCTGATTTTTGTACTGCTTAAGATTTTCATAAATAAAATTTTCTTCTCATGGTGGTAGATTCATTCTTTGTAAACATAATTGGCTTCCAAGATTCAGTTGACCAGCTAAGATTAACAAGAGTTTACTTGTAATCTTGGTACATCCTTTCCTGACCACTCACTTCCACCCCAAGAAGCAATGACATGTCCTTTTTTTTTATTTTCACAGCAGGTTGTTATATTTATTTTTATACATATATGAGCCCACAGAACATGGCATACTCCTGGGTGCTTAATAAATTCAGATTTTTCTATCAAGAGGCAGAGATCAGATCAATCAAGAGACCTCTGGGTAACTGTCAAATACACTGCTGCTGGGAAGGTAAAATGATACAACCACTTCGGAAAACAACTTGGTAGTTTCTTTTCTCTCTTTTTTTTTTTTAAAGATTTTATTTATTTATTTATTTTCACCCCAAAGCCCCAGTAGATAGTTGTATGTCATAGCTGCACATCCCTCTAGTTGCTGCATGTGGGATGCGGCCCCAGCATGGCCGGAGAAGCGGTGCGTCAGTGTGCGGCCAGGATCCGAAGCCGGGCCGCCAGCAGCGGAGCACGTGCACTTAACCGCTAAGCCACAGGGCCGGCCCAAGCTTGGTAGTTTCTTAAATATACATCTACCATATGACCCAGTAATTCTACTCCTAGCTATATACCCAAGAGATGGAAACAGATGTGCACACAAAAACTTGTATGCAAATAAATATTTATAGCAGTATTATTCATAGTAGCCAAAAAATGGAGAAAAATCTAACTGTCCCTCAATCGATAAATAGACTAAAAGAATATTATGTACTAAAAAGGAATGAAGTACTGATAACATGCTACAACATATATGAAACTCAAAAGACATTATGCTAAGTAAAAAGAAGCCAGACACAAAAGACCACATATTGTATGATTCTATTCATATGAAATATCCAGAGAAGATAAACCTAAAGAGAAAATAGATTAGTAGTTACCTGGGGCTAGGAGTGGGAATGAAGAGTGCCTGCAAAGCGGCATTGAAGTTTCTTTTTAGGCTGATGGAAATTTTCTAAAATTAAGTGAACTTTATGATATGTAAATTATACCTCAATAAAGTTTTAAAGTTGAAAACTTTGAAGTTTTAAAAATAAAAATATAGGGCCAGCCCCGTGGCTTAGCGGTTAAGTGCGCGCACTCCGCTACTGGCGGCCCAGGTTCGGATCCTGGGTGTGCACCGACACACCGCTTCTCCGGCCATGCTGAGGCCACGTCCCACATACAGCAACTAGAAGGATGTACAACTATGACATACAACTATCTACTGGGGCTTTGGGGGGAAAAAAAAAAAAAGGAGGAGGATTGGCAATAGATGTTAGCTCAGAGCCGGTCTTCCTCAGCAAAAAGAGGAGGATTGGCATGGATGTTAGCTCAGGGTTGATCTTGCTCACAAAAAAAATAAAAATAAATAAATAAAAATATAATTACATGACAATATACAAAATAGATTTTAGGCCAAGATGATGAAAAAGGCTATTCATTAGCCTTTGTGTATTCTCTTACTTATTTTAAACTTGGCTCTCTTAGAGTACTCTGGCTATATAATAGTTTCCTACCTCTTCCTCTCTCTAAGAAGACAAGAATTGATAGATTTAAACTGTTAATCAGAGCCTTATTTTTGGCATATGCAATCTCTGTAATACTTCAAATGACTGGAGAAGCTTTGGGGACATTAGTCTAATATCTAAGGGGTTACATTAAAAGTCACTATAAAGTAAGAACTAGTAAGGTCATGCATCTTCGGAGGGCCAGCTCTCTAAGTAGGTGTTAGGGATTGCATGTTTGTGTCCCCCCAAAATTCATATGTTGAAACCCTAATTCCCAATGTGATGGTACTTGAAGGTGTGGCCTTTGGGAGGTAATTAGGTCGTGAAGGTGGAGCCCTCATGATGGCATTAGTGCCTTTATAAGGAAAAAGAGATTAGAACTTGTTCTCTCTCAGCCATGTGAGAATACAGCAAGAAGGCTGGCTGTCTAGAGGCCAAGAAGTGGACACTAACCAGACACCAGATAAGCAGGTACCTTCATCTTGGACTTCCCAGCCTCCAGTACTATGAGAAATAAATGTATGTTGTTTAAGCCACCTTAATTTGTTATAGCAGCCCAAGCAGACTAAGACAGTAGGTATCTCTTTTCCCAGTGACTTCTATAGCATCTTTATCTTAATATTCTTTGACAGTCTCCTTTCTTCAAAGGTTATAAAACAGAAGCAACCTATAAGGAATAGAGTGGTAGAAAGCCATCAACAGTAATCTTGGACACTCCTTGCTTTGGAAACCACCTACTCATGTAGGAATTGTTCCTAATAGGAATCATTCTAATCAAAAACAGTTATTTACATAGTACCTCTGCATCAGTACTTGCGTTCTATAAGTTAAGGTATAGCTTAGAACCTGGTTTCATGCTGTGTTTCCCTCTATATGGTCCCTCTTAGCAACGGCATTTAGCTTTGTCTTAGGGAATACATACCAGCCATTGGTTGGATGCCATCAAAAGAAATACTTTTATTTTGTCTGTCATCATGGATCCTATGACGTTTAGTTTAGTAATACAAAACTACCACAAGATCTCTATTTAAAAAGTCTTGGGTTAAGCTCTGGAGAATTTTCATAGGCAAATTCTTCTTTGTGGGCGGGATCAGTAAACACTCCAATAAAATCTATTTCCAGGAAGAATGGACCATCCACTTTATCAGCCAGGGTGAATCCAATAGAAGAGATCTAAATTTAAAATAGAGAAGTTGATCAAAATCTCCTACACTAATGCACTGATGTTGTTCCTGGAGTTTTAAAATTCCACGATATGACTACTATAGCTGGGTCTTTGTACTATCAGTCCTTAGCAAGTATACCACAGTTCTCATATGCTGTAGCAATTTAAAGTAGTGCCACTTAAGACTAGTGAGGACAACATGGATGGCTAATGGAGGTTCCTTGAAGCTCTCCTGAACTCTAATGCTGTTTTCTTATTTTAAAGCTAAAATAAAATGCAGGCATGCTGAAAAGATGACCATACTGAAATTCCTCCAGGATGGAGGTCTGCTTCAACGGATAGGTCTGAGTCAACATCTGTCTGGGTATAACATGGGCCTTGAGTAGGAATTTTCATCTTTCATTTGTCAGCCCTCAAAAATGGACTGAACTCACCCACACAGGAGTTCTGTTTCACTTAAGATAATACAGTTCTGAGTGAAAGTACAGGAAAATGTTACCTTGTCAAGCAGAAGCTGGTACTGGGCATCCCGGATTCTTCCTTGATTAGAGAAGAAAAATTTGGAGAAAGGAATCTGAAAGAAGAAACCATTGACTTCATAGCTGAAATGTAAGCAACTGAGACATCTGTATGGAATTGCAATGATAAAGAATAGTTTAATTCTAAAATTATTTAATATATGCAGTTATGACCAGTGGCTAGTCATTTGGACCACAGATATAAATTTTTGTTAAATGAAATAAAATAAGCTCTAGAAAAAACCTTGCTAAGCCAGAAGTCCCAAAGGAAAAGTGATATAGTAGAGAACAATTATAACTTTCTGATGGCAAAAGACAAAGGATAAACTAGGAAAAAAATATTTGTAACATTTATGGACAAAAAACTTGTATCCTAGACACAAAACTTTTACAAATAACTAAGAAAAAGATTAAACAACCCAGTAGGAAAACGGGGATGGGGAGGAACAGGTACACTTGTATACTGTTAGTAGGAGTGCAAATTAGTACCACTCTTAGAGGGCAGCTGGCAATTGTGATAGGCAGGATTCTAAGATGCCCCTCAAGATTTCCACATTCTAGTGTACACACACCTTCTTTCAGGTATTCAAACACTAAGCTCAGTGCTGCTGTGAAGGAACTGCAGAAGTAAGGTCCCAAATCAGTTCACCTTAATATAGGGAAGATTATCCTCTGTAGGCCTGACTTAAACGCTTAAGCCCGGGGCCAGCTGGTGGCATAGCGGTTAAGCGCATGTGCTCTGCTTCGGAGGCCCGAGGGTTCCCAGGTTTGGATCCCAGGTGCGCACCGAGGCACTGCTTGTCAAGCCATGCTGTGGTGG